AGGGAGGGGGGGAGGAGGGAGGGGGGGGGGGGGGGGGCACCCACAAGCATAGGGATACATACAGGGGGACGCTCAGCGTATGTGGCAACGTTTGTTGAACTCTAGCACCAAGGGCGCATGCGAAGCTTGCGAGATCTGCCCTCACAACTCAGGGTGGTCGAAAACTAGCGGAGACGTGGTGATCATGCTAAAGCACAAAGGTCGGATACATCGCAGAGGGAAAGCTGCTGCTTTGATGCAATAGTGTACTCTCTGATGCCAAGTTTTGTATACGACAAGCCGTGGACTACTGCTGTACCGTACGCTTTACCGTGAGTGCAGTCCTGCTGGGATATCTTTAGAAAAAAGAAATGGCAAAAAAATGTACAGCCAACAGCAGTTCACAGCAGTACTACTGTAGTAGATGATGCCGTGCTGTACGCGTACCATACGCAAGAAGAACTAAGAGGCGTTTATCCTGCGTCATACGTGCGTTGGCCCGGAAGCCCCCCACCGTACACTAGCTACCGAATACACGACACTAGGGTTCGAAAGGTCGACCTAGCCGCCGGTAGATGCTTACCAAACCCCACGAAGCAGCAGTCGCACCCTGCTTTTACACTTCACACAGCAGTGTACTCGGCCGAGAATCAACACTCAACGAAAAATTCAAATTTCCTTCATCTCTAGACTGCTGTATTGGTTCACTGGTATATGTCACGGGCGATGGACACATGATGCGCATCGCCACACAAGCATGGAACGGCCCTTTTCCCTTTGCTCCAACGGGGGGCTCTACGCGGTCGAAGCGCGCGTGCAGCAATCGATGGGTGGGGGTGCTAGACTTAATTGTCCTCGACGACACAAATTCAAAAAATTGCTGCCTAGCCTACTTTGTAGTGTATGTGTTGTAGGGCGCGCGGCAAAGGATATGGTACATAGGTTACCCATCCGTTCCGCATGCCGTAGACTGGCTCACCGGGCCATCGTCGAAGCTCTGTGGGTGCCATGTTTTGCCAACCTCTATCAGCGAGCCAGCGCGTCGAAGCAATGGTCACCTCTCTGCGCAGTTGCAGCTGAGCGAAGAGCGGGCCGAGCGGACCTGTGTCAAGCGACGGCGCGTTCGGGGGATACACAGATTATACAAAGGATACCCCCTGTGCTCACATACAAGGCAAACAAACCCGACGCCACCGGACCTGTGCATTGCACAGCAGCAAGAGACGGACAGACTGCGCCCACGTTCCACTGGGAAACTTCGAGAACGAAGGGAGAGAAGCACGCCGATTTCCTGCCCGGTGTGCGGTTGTTCAAGCGCGAACAGCGAGAGATTGAGAGAGCGAGCGAGCGCCTGCTTTGCTGAAGACGAAAGGCCCGCCTGCGGTTCATCCCGCTACATATTATACCGTTTTTTTGGGTTCCCGATCAGGTGAGAGGACATTGTGTAGATTTGCCGAGCGATAGGTGAACTGGGCAACAGGGCCAAAGTCAACTTAGTTGTTGTTCTGTTTTTGGCTCCCTCCGGGAGACGCACACGCCCATTGAGCGTTGGGTGCGTATGCGCGTTGTTCTGCGATTGGTTCTGCGGCTCCTGCTGTCAGCGTTTTGTCCGAGTCTTCGACGGGACGTTGGCAGAAGGGTGGTATGCGCCACACACTTTTCATCGGCTCTCCAATCTCTGATCACGATTTCTCCAAATAACGCTCAGTGCACCCAACGCACCCCCCCCCCCCCGGGGTATCGTGATCGCGCACGCGTGCTCCTGCTGCCTTCCAGGAGAGCTCAGCGCTCTTTCATACAACAGCAGACGCGTAGTAAGCCAGCAGGGATGGCGATTGTGGGGAGGCGACGGCTCTTGCCAACCTTGGCGACAGCGGCAAGTCTCTGCACCGCAGGGGTGGGGGTTTATGGTATCGAGTGGAGCGAGACTACTTCCTCATCGTCAGAATACGTCTACTCTGCTGCCGTGGGGGAGCTGTTGACGGTGAGCGAGGGATGGTTGGCAGCGACAAGCTGCTGGTCAAGTGTGTAGGAGGGGGGGGGGGGGGGGGGGGGGAAAAATTTTTTCCCTATCTTTGGGTTCGTTTACGAAAAAAGCCCAAACCCCCTGGGGGGGGGGGTACTTTTTTTGTGGTTTAAAAAAAAAAAGAAAAAAATTTCGAGGGGGGAAACGGAACCAGCCCCCCAAGGGGGGGGCCATA